GGCTGCTTTCAAGATGGTTGAGCCCTTCAAGTTATCTGAGCCTACAGAGGCAGCTTTGGCTAATGGACTAGCTGGGATGACCGCCTCACTTTTCTCTCAGGCTGTGTTTGTCCCTATTGATGTGGTAAATACCTTTACAGTCTCTATCACATTTCTTGCTTGAGCATTTTTGTAGTTAGGGGTTTGAGATAACTAATTTTTGAGTAATGGGTTTTCTTTAGATTAGTCAAAGATTGATGGTGCAAGGGTATTCGGGCCATGCAAAGTACAGCGGGGGGATGGATGTTGCTCGTAAGGTTATAAAGTCAGATGGCATCCGGGGATTGTATAGAGGGTTTGGACTTTCTGTTATGACTTACTCTCCATCTAGCGCTGTATGGTGGGCTAGTTATGGTTCAAGCCAGCGCTTAATCTGGAGGTGAGACATGGTAATCTGCTATCTATTGACTCTAGTTCTGTTGATAGAGCTCTTTTATTCTAAGACTAGGCCAAGTAAGTTTCAGTAAATTTAGATCTTTTAAATGAGTGTCAGCAATATGTAATTTAGATTTTCTGTTGGACATTCTATTTTTTATCTTAAGCAGCAATCTTCATTTAATGATTTAATGATATGAGTTTCTTTGCCCTGTGGCCATGACAAACACATTAAAACTTTGGAGGTGCATCAGTTTGATGGTTGTTTTAGGTAGTTTCCAGTTGAATGCATTAGTTGAACATGATAGTAGGATGTACGAGTTGTTGAAAGTAATCATCAGGTACTGTGACTTTTTTGGTTGTTAGGCTTTATTCTTAGATAAACGATCCGGTTGTATAGGAAGTCTAAAGTTCATTAAGCCAATGAACTTCTATAATTACTTCTACTAAGGGCAATGGATTTCATTCACTTTAGATAAAGAACTAAGGTGAAGGAGTTTAGGTAAATCATACCCTTTTGTCAAAATATCTCACTATTGCGTTATTCTGGTTCATTAAGCAGTTTCTTAGGCCATGGAAGTGGTTCTGATGAATCTGTTCCTGGTGTGGGGAAAATAGTGTTGGTTCAAGCTGCTGGAGGAATTGTTGCAGGTGCAACAGCATCCTGCATAACAACCCCATTGGATACCATAAAGACTCGGTTACAGGTATTCACATAACCAATTAATGTATGTGGTTACTTTGCTAGCTTGTAGCGTGCTCATCTTCATTTGACCAAGTTAATATGTGTTTTTTTTCAATAAATAATTATTGCTGCACTATAGGTGATGGGACACGAAAAGAGACCCACTGCAAGAGAAGTTGTTAAAGGCTTGATAAGAGATGATGGCTGGAAAGGTTTCTACAGAGGGCTAGGTCCAAGATTTTTCAGCATGTCAGCCTGGGGCACGTCAATGATATTGGCTTATGAATATCTGAGTATGGACTCTTACCTATTATGCTTCCTTATCATTTATTTTGGGTCTTTTCATGATCTTTCTTTCACATCATGTTTTCCTTACCTAAGATTCAACTTCTAGGCTCAAGTTTCTTTAAAAGTCATATATAACACTCTGTGAAGGGAGAACACTTATGCAATCTATATATTCAGGAATGATGAATTCCTCCTATTTGGCTTCTTCTTCTTCATTTTTTCCCTTCTTGAAAAGTCCTGCTATGTGGTTTCTCATGATACTTACAAAAACCCAAAATTTGAAATTTGATTTCTATTGTTGTTTCCTCATGTTCTTTCAGAGCGCTTGTGTGCAAAAGATGAATAGAGGTCATTCTTCTTTCGGTCCACTTAGCATGGAATGATAGGAATTTCGTTCTGACGTGGGCTGGTATTGAGCATTTCTGATGAAGGCTTTAGACTGGTAAATTCAGAATTGGGATTATGGACACTGAAGCCTTTGTCGTTAGTTTTGATCGGGCGATTGGTCCTGATATTATTTGATGCTTTTCTTACTAAATTTTGGAGAAGTCCTCAAATTCATTTAGGAATTTCTCTACTAGATAGTAGTGATATCATTCTTCGGGTAATTGGATTTACTTGAGCTGTAGGAAGTGCCAATTTTTTGTTCTATAGCAAGTGCACCGTCACCCCGAGCAAGGAATTTGAACTTATTAACACAGTTCTTTTTATAAAATTTGATATTTTGCTATATTTTCCCCTTTAGGTGTAATTCTCAATAATTTAGTACACCAAATTCATTCACCAGAAATGATTGTAGTTGTAAATGTACTTTTTTATAGTTGAAATGTTTGATCCCTGAAATTATTGATGATTGTTACTTGTTAAACTAGTTATGGAGTAAATCAAAAGATATAATGAACTTAAAACTTAGGCTGGACCCATGGTGTGGCAAAATAGTAGTTTCCACTTCCCATGGTGAAATTGACACCAAAGCTTTCAACAAATCCCCACTTGGTTTGTTACAAAAACTTAGCAGAATCATCTGCAACGAGTGCAGTAGAATTATGTACTTCAGATTCATCATCTTTGGAAAATTTACTTTAGATGGATGTGCATATTGAGCTTTTTATGAATTTTGTGAGAGAAAAAACCCAAAGATACCAAAAGATATGCTATGTAAACTTGACACGGATGTCAATATTGAGCTTTTTATGAATTTTGTGAAATTAAAAAAACCCAAAGATAATAAAAGGATGATAGAACTTTATAAAGTAGTGAGAGTGAATTTACACCAATACATGGATGAAAATCACCTCAAGATACCAATTACATCTAGTGGCTTCAAATTCTTGGTCTTGGTTTTCTTAAACTCTGACTGGTTTCTCCAATACAGCTGAGAAGAAGAGCTCATCTCCAAGCTTATCAGTCTTAGGTACAACCCTCCATAGTAATGGCTTGTAGCCTAACCTGTTAAACTCATCCAAATACAACTTAATGTCCTCCTTATGACAGAAGAAGCGGTCTATCCAAAGAAGACCCTTTGGCCGAAGGACACGGTCCCAATCAAACAACACAAACTGAAGGAGTTCAATTCCTATCCAGCCATCCAAGAACAAATTAGAGTGGATCATGTCAAGGGTATTGTCAAAGAAGGGCAATCTTGAGCCAATTGATGTGTAAAGAGGAAGAAGGCCTCTTAAGGCAATGACCTCATTGAAAGGAGCCCCTAAGTTTAAGGTACTTGAAACAATGGTAACATTCTTTTCCCTCATGATAGAAGCAAATGTTCCTGTTGTCGGGCTAAAATGTAGGCTGATTCTTATCTCCTCCGGCTTTAACCCTAGAACTTCATCAATGGTGAACTCTGCTGATTCAAACTCGTTTGTTGGAGTATCCCACCCTTTTTTTGAAAGGTTGAAGCAGTCTGAGCATTTGAAGAAGCCTCTTCGGTGCTTGGTTTCTTTGGAGACAAGGCAAGAGTATTCTTTGCACTTGTAATTGTTCCATAGGATGTTAGCACCACTAGGTTGAGTCCAAAGGGGGGAGTTTATAGGAAATGGCTTGGTGTAGTGTGGAGGTGATTTTGTGAAGCATCTTCTTCTTGGTAATGGATCACATCCATGAACTATAAGCTTCTGAGCTATTTCCCAATCATCCGGGCATGTACTGTGAACCTTATAACTCATAAACCGGTCTAAATTGGTTGCCATATTGGCACAAGCCAACCCAATTGATGGAGTTACTGCTTCTACCCCAAGAAAATTCTTCTTCCCAGTTAGCCTGTTTTGTTTTGGTGAAGTGTAATTGTGAATCTCACCTGAACTGAAGACCTTCCCACCCATAAACTGTTCTTCAGCTTCCTCGGGATCACTGAAATCTTCATCGACATTGCTCATCTCAGCTTTAGCAGGGGGAGAATTCCTGTAGAGCCTTGATAAGCTATCTGCAAGTTTGTCCAAAGAAATGGCAATGTGAAGCACCTGATCCGAAAATTTCACAATTGCTTTTGAGTCTGAACTTTCATTATGCAGCTGCTCCAGTAAAACCCCCAGTTGGATCTGCAAATGAGAGATATCTCCGTGCAGGGAATGAGGCAAAACAATTTGGCCATGGGAAGTATTGGCAAAAGTAGCAAAAATGGATTGTGGATATGAAACATTGAAGCCAAAAATGAAAACTGTGAGGGGGCTGACAAGGAGAATAGCACATAACATTGCGGCAAGAAGGCATCTGACTGGCTGAGAGGAGCTTTCCTTC